AAGAGAAAAATGTCAGAATAAAACCCCACATAAGCCAAAAACACATACAAGACATACAACTAATAAAGGATTACTATCAATGGGGAAAGAAAAAAACAAAACTAAACATAGAATCCAATAGAAAAATGAGCAAAAGTCATAAACAGACATTTCACAGACAAAACATAAATGGCCTATAACAAAGTAAAAATTTGATCAACCTGCTTGGTAATCTGGCACTTGTAAATTAAAGCCAACATGAGAATTCTTATTCATAGACAAGTAGAAGTTTATTCTGAAAATATTTTGAAAACTCTTTGGCATTGACTAGTAGGGTTTGAATATGTGTATGTATCCCTTTTGACCCAATGATTCCTTTCCTAGATATAGACCTTTGACAAGCTCTTGCCTGTGAGCATAAAGAAATGTGCATATACATATGTTCATGGCAGAGTTGTTTGTAACAGCAAAAAATCTAAAAACAGCTCAAATGTCTGTAATCGTCAAACGGATAAATAGACTAGTGTGCTTGTAAAACAAAGCCGTATAACACTAACATTAAAAATACAATAATACACATCTAGATGATTTGCAAAAATGTAGCTTTGAGTGAAGGAAATAAGTCAGAAAAGAATATATACAATGTGATTCAATTTATATGAAGTTCACATGCATGAGATGCTAAACAGTGTATTTCTAGGAATATATGCCCATGTGGTTAAACCATAAAGAAAAGTAAAGGAATGCTTAACACAAAATCCAGGGCAATAGATATCTCTAGAAGGGAGGTTTAGAAATGTAGGACTGGAAAGAGCCTATATGGTTGCTGAAGAAAGTAGAAATGTTCTCTTTTTGAAGCCAGGTTATGGGTACATGAAAACTGATATTATTTTTTAATTATTATTTAATGTGTACTGTTACATTTTATACTCTTGCAAAAATATGATGTATTTAAATACAAAGCTTTTTTTGAAAAAGCATGGAGTTGCTGTGGAGGTAGAGTTGTATGTATTTATGTTGATTGAGAAAATGAGATTGAATAGCATATAAAAAGAAGATGTTTATAGTTTCTTCCTATTTCACTGAATTCCAGACATAATGAGAACATAGTGATGTTGATTCACAGGTCTGAACAGACTCCATCCTATAGTAATTGAGGGTGGTGAGTGACAAGAAGAAAGTCATTTATCTAGATTGTTAACTAGGTGGATGGTGTGTTTCCCTATAACTGTATTAGCATATACAAAAGGAGCATGAGCTTTAGTGGTAAAGGCCATATATGGTCTGTTTATGCTGTATTTGAGGTGGTTATGGGAGATCCACGCATCTGTGCACAGGAAGCAGTTTAATATCTCATTCTAGCGCAGGGTGGAGCACTATGGCCTGGAAATATTAATATGGAAAACACACAGCTAAAGAAAATGTGCCAAAGTATGCAAAGTTTTTCTACAACAGAGGGAAGACGAGAGATGGCAGTGGAAGGGAGGAAGAGTTAGAAATGCTTTGGGAGACGATTGTGTTTTTTATGTGAATCATCTTATAGCTTATAGAATTTGAACATGGCTAAAATTATCCTAAGACTTCCATAGTTTGAGAGATTTTACTTTCTGTCAGTAACCTTCACAAATTTCCTTTGCAACTTTTTGTTTGTACCAATCATCCTGTGACTGTTATCTCTTAAACTCATCTGAGCTTATGGTTTAGAAGTTTAGGTATAACATTATTAGGAAATCTTTTTTTAAAATTTTACATTATTTTTTCAAAATGATCTCCTAACATTTATATTTTCTGGATTGTAGCAAATTTTTCTAGAGGAACTATGAAACGCATGTTATTTTAGATTTTTAAATCCTTCAGAAAAACTGAAAAGAAGAAAGAATTTTCAAGAAAAAAATTTAAATGAGAAATTTGCTTGTGTGATGCCCATATATATTTTTCAAATAACAAACTTTTCTGTTATGAAAATGCCCTACCAACATTCCAATGCGACAGTGTCTGTAAGCAGAGGAAATAGACACTGATGACTATTTTTGGTTCAATTAATACCTGTTGTAAACTTATTTGATATTACCTGGAAAATCCCAGGGTCAAAGGAAAATGAGCATCCTTTGAAAGGCTTCCTAAAAAAGTTGGGTTTTTTCCTTAATTCATTGAAATTTTAAAGTTGTTTTTTTCTTTGGCAAATTAGTTTTCAAAGCCTTTAACCTTTGTCTATAGAACTTACTCTTCTGTAAGCATTGAATAATTGAAAGGTTATGTTTCTAATAGAAGTCATCTTCCATCTTATTTCTTGTATACATGCATTGCCATTATGGCTAAAGTGCTGAGATCTGCTGTCATGGTTTCTTCCTGCAGTACGGAGGCCTTTTAAATTCAGCTGAACAAATGTTTAATATATTTGTTGATACCAAACTATATACAAAACACCTTACTAAACACTTTTAGAGATACACCAATGAATAAGACAGACGAATAAGATGTAAAACTTAACATGTATACATTGTTTTCACTTCCTCCTGAGGTTAAGTTTAGGATCAAGCATGTTGATAATTTTTTTAAAAAGGAGTATGTCACTTATCTGGAGAGAAAATTTCTATCATCCCCAAACTTTTAAAACACAGTTTCAGGGCTTCCCTAGTGGCGCAGTGGTTAAGAATCTGCCTGCCAATGCAGGGAACACGGGTTCAAGCCCTGGTCCAGAAAGATCCCACATGCCGCGGAGCAACTAAGCTCGTGCGCCACAACTACTGAGCCTGCGCTCTAGAGCCCATGAGCCACAACTACTGAAGCCTGAGCGCCTAGAGCCCGTGCTCTGCAACAAGAGAAGGCACCACAATGAAAAGCCTGCACACCGCAACAAATAGCAGCTCCCATTCACAGCAACTAGAGAAAGCCCGTGCACAGCAACGAAGACCCAACACAGCCAATAATAAAATAAATAAAATAGAAAAAAAAATTTTTTTAAATTTCAAAAGGAGAGTGAATGAGAAAAATGTTTTTCACTAAACACTTTATCAGGAATTTCATATACTCCACCTTAAGAAAAGAAGCAATAAAAATATTTAGAATTGGGCTTCCCTGGTGGCACAGTGGTTGAGAGTCCGCCTGCCGATGCAGGGGACATGGGTTCGTGCCCCTGTCCGGGAAGATCCCACATGCCGCGGAGCGGCTGGGCCCGTGAGCCATGGCCGCTGAGCCTGTGCGTCCGGAGCCTGTGCTCCGCAACGGGAGAGGCCACAGCAGTGAGAGGCCCGCGTACCGCAAAAAAAAAAAAAAAAAAAAAAAAAAAGATAAGAAATTGGAAGTAAGAGTAAACAATAGAACACTGACAGCATCAATATGGCAGCTGACAAATTAAAAAGTACAAAGGACAAATATCCTTTAATCTTTAATTGTCTCATTTAGTATCACTGTATATGATACAGGAAATTGATGCTCATAATCATGAATTAGTTATCAAAAAAAGTTGTCATATCTAGTCTTCAGCACATTTTGGAACCAGAGTACTCTTTTTATTGTTTTAATTTTGGTGGGATTAAATTCTTTGGTTATCAGGAAAATTAACCATGTAGAGTACCTTATGAGGATAATATAGCATGACTTTTTGTTTTGTGTATAAAATTCATATATTTCCTTTTAAACATATGTTGGGAGAGACTTTGTGAATAACAAGTCACTATTATTTATAGGGTTCTCATATTAAGAGCTTTATGTATTTCTCCTTTAATTACCATAATATCTATCTTCAGTAAATTTTATTCTTCCCATTTTGAGGCAGAAATTGAGGCACAGTTTAAGAAATTTGTTTAAGGTTCTTCAACTAATAAGGACAGAATTTACTAATCATGTAAGCAATTAGCCAACTTCATAATCGTAGTTTTAACTATTTGGTCGATCTTTAATATGGTCATGATTAAATTTTTTATTCCAAATAGTGAAATTAACTCGAATTTGTTTAAGCAAATTGGGGATCTTATTACAAAGGAAGCAAGGATATCTCCTAGAACCCCAGGAGAAGTTGTGAAGCTGAAACCACATGGCCAAGTGTGCTTTTTGTGCACCTGTGTCCTTCTTTCTACTTTGCTGATCAGCTTTCTCTGTGCCTCTTTGCCTCTGGTGAAGATAAATACCCAATGCTCCTGGGTTTTCATTACCATAAACTCTTTCCACATAGAAAGACTGATGAGCTCTCTGTTAATCCCATTTCTCAAGAAAGAAACATTTGATTAGCCCCACATGGGGTAGGAGATTAACACCTGTTCTAATCCCGCATTGCTAAGAAAGGATTACCAAACAGTAACATGACTATGGGAGTCTACCAGCCCTGTGTGAAGATGGTGGTCCTGTGATAGCAGGCAGTGTGGTCCTTCAGTTCAGACAGCAGTGCATGGTGGTTAAGGTCATGGTTTCTGAAGCTGACTTTCTAGATTTATTCTCAATTCTGCTGGGACTGGTTGAGTGACCTTGTGTAAGTCCTTAACCATTTCATGCTTACTTATTTTCTTTATCACTAATGTGGGGATAATAATGTTATTACATGTAAGCTGTATAGAACGGTTCCTGACAACATCTTAAACATTTAATACATCTTAGTAATTATTTTATGATAGTGGTCAATTGCTGTATATATTTTATTTATCAAATAAATTAATCTAATTTTAAGATTACTCCTGTGACCTTCAATGCTTCAAAGATAGTGTTTACAAAATGAAATAATCATGCTCTTATTTTGCTAAGAGTTACATTATCTCTAAGTCTGTTCAAAATATTGATAACAAAGGGGAGAAAAAGGAAGGTCTTATAATAGGCTAGTTACTTGTTGCAGTAAGGAAGATTAATTTCCTAATAAACGTGAAAGATTTTCTAATACTTCCTGGTGAGTAGAATATTCATATAGAAAAAACTGTAATAGAGCATATTTGCATAATTATTAAAATTTTGCACACCATTTGTTTATTAAGTTAAATTATACAGCTGAGGTCAATTAATTTTCTGTTGATTAATTAGGCATTTATTTTCAGGTACATGACAGATGGAGGGCTCAACCTGTATACTAGGAGTCTGAACCGAATACCAGACACAGCAACTTCCAGGGATGTCATCCAGAGAGGGGTTCATGATGTGACAGTGGATGCAGACAGGTAATGTCATCAGCATATTTGATGGTGAGGAATGCATAAAGCAATTTTATAAATGAGATCCTAGGAGTTTTACAGTATTAAACCAAAGGACTTTTTATTTTGATATAATAATAATTTTGGAACATTTTGAAAACTAAGGTGCTTTTGCTTACAAGACTTTTAGCTCTGTACACTAAAAGAAATTACATTGCTGTTGAGAACATTTAACAAATTTCAGGTTACATGGTGGCAAATTTTAATATCTGCAAAAGCAAAATTATAAACATAGACTTCTGTTCCTTACTTGAAAAGAACCCTGGCTGATAAATTCCTTTCAATTCAGATGCTCTCAGATCTACCTGGGGGCTAATGACATAAAGATTAAACCATAATTCTAATTATCAGGTAAAATAAACTTGATGCTTTTCTTGAGGGGTTTCTTGAAAGCATACAACTCTTGCTTTAAGCTAATCTCTTTCATATTTCAAATTGCTTACAGGTTTGTGTGTTTCATATACTTGTTATTATTTTGCTGGGAATTGTTTTGCCAATTTTATCAGAATCACTGCTGTTTGATAATATTGTCTTTGTGAAATAATGTTGTAAGACGTATTTCTGACCTGATTTTGCCCCCTCTTCACTCAGAATTTTTAATTTCTTAAGCAGGAAGTGATTGCCTATTTCCAGAGCTACTGTATATCAATACCTAGAGTAGTTCTTTAATTCAACATTTATGAAGGGGACGAAAGGGTAAGACCTAATGTATCCACATTCTGAAATAAGAACTGTGTACAATTCATAGTGCATTTTAATATAGCCAACTCCAAAGGCTAGGCAGTGAATTCTGATATTCGTCGTCAATTCCTCCTTACTCAAATGCTGTTGATGTTTTAACTCCTGTTGGCCAGCTCTCATCCTGTATATACACTAGTCTCCTAGGCTGTACACAAGGTGTCTGTGTGAAGCATGTGGTTACAAAGGGTTTATGAAAAATTTTGCTCACTCCACCCCCGACCTGAACTATTCTTCAACTGTTTTCCCTCACTGACTCTCACTAACTTCAAACATGATGGACTTCTGCTTTCACATTGATGCTCCCTCTGCCTAGAATGCCCTTTTCTACATTCCTTGCATTATTGCCTCCATCATATTTCTGTTTCAGCTTAATGTTACCTTCTTAGCGAAGTGTTTTCCAGAGTAGCAAAGGTACATTTCATTTCCAGTCACTTTCTTTCCCATTATCTTATATTATTTTCTTCAATGTACACATCACTGCTAATTATTGTTTACATGTTTATTTTGTATCTCCCCCATTACAGTGTAAGCTCAGGAATGCAAACTTTTCATCATTTTTACGATACATTGAGCTTTTAACAAATGCTTGTGGAGTGAATGAACAAAGGAATGAATATAGGCTATATATTCATATAGGCCAGCGATAGCGTCCAGTTGACTAAAGAGACAAATAAGACTGGGAAAAGAGACAAGATACTGCAAGGATATTATGTAAGAGAGGGAATGAGTTATGTGGGAAAATAGGAAGGAGTGATTAGAGGGAAAGAAATCCAAAGTGTGGGCCACATTTTGAAACTAATGACCAACTCATTGTTAGCTGACAGTGGAAAACATTAAAGGAGAGGAAAAAAATCTGTTGGTCTTTGGGAAGTGAGATTTATGATAGCTGAAGCTAGGAATCAACACAAAGGTGACTTATTTTGGAGGCATTTGGGATAACCAGCTCTCCAGGCTCCAGATTGGAGCCGGGCTGAGGAACCTCAGACCAACGGAAAAACCCAGGTATTCAACTAATAAATTGGGACCAGCAAAAGCCATAGTTCTTAAAGTGTGGTACCTGGATCAGCAGCATCAGCCTCACTTGGGAACTTGTTAGACATGCAGATTATCAGCGCCATCTAAGACTCGCCAAACCTGGGGTCCAGCAATCGGAGCTTTAACCAGCCGATTCATATATACACCAAAACTAATGAAACACTATCTTAAAATGAACAAATAGATGCCAGGCCTGTGAAAACGTAAACATTTAACATAAACATGTAAACATAAAAAATAACATTTGGAAAGTTTTACTTCATTAGCTGTGCTTTGTCAAGTGAAAGAGACTATCAAAATAACAATGGCATTAATCTTTAAATTAGATCAAATAATGATGTGTTGCACCTGAAATAAATTGTCTCAGATTCAGATTTTGAGAAGTATGTAGAAGGTTTTTGAAAGAATTATGTAATTTGAGGAATACAAAAACGCTTTGGTCACTTTTATATATTCAACAGCAATAGGGTTATAGTGAAAATCCTACTATAGGAGTTTTAGGATTTTCTCTTTTATTATAGCTAAATCTCAAGCTCTTTTAAAATTGTATATTCAGAAAGTGATTCAAGATGTTATTGTTTTAAAATGCATAATCTTAGATATTAAAGTTGTGAAAGTCCTGTTAATTTATAAAGGATAACGTTTCATAAAATTTTCTTAATTCTGATAGCCATTCCAAGTAGGATTGACAAGAATGGCTAAAGGTACTGAGAAGTCCTGCAGTTTAAAATAAAACCTGCTTAACTTTATTTAATTCATTGCTCCTTAAGTTTTTTTCATCGATTCCCCCACCTTTTTCGCTATAATGATAATTTGTTCCTATAATGTTTTAAGAAATGCTCATTTAGCCTAATGCTCTCATTTAGTAGATATAAAAGAGTGAGGAGTTAGGTCTTTTACCCCTGTACTTCTAGTTTCCCAGCTACCTTAGTCAAGGTTTTTAAAAAATAATAATAATAATATAAAAGTATTAGTGATTGGTTCATTTTAGCAAATCGGTAAATAATAGGGCTTACAATATTTCACTGATACGAAAGCTTAAATGCAAAAAAAATCAACAGCGTTTTCATATTTCTTAGATATTCTTTCTAAAAGTTATATCAGGGAAAAAAGCACTTATATAATGGCAAAGTACCCAGCTGGCTAGTATGGCAATGGATTTGAATTGTTCGTGTTGCTGTAGTGAAGGTTATACGCTCCCCTTTGATCAACTTCTGGAGAAAATGTGATGGGCAATAGAGAATAGCTGAATTCCTCTTCTCAGCAGATTGAAATGGCCCCAAAGAAAAGAGGAGGGCTTCCAGCAGCCATCTGTATTACTCAAAGACATTGCAGGACAAAAGCGGGGCATCATTTCGAGAGGAACTTGGGTTTGGTCTGTATGTAGTACTCTGCTCGGACTGCCGTAGCAAAGTACCACGGACTGGGTGGCTTAAACAACAGACATTTGTATTCTCACAGTTCTGGAGGCTACAAGTCCATGATTACAGTGCTGGAAAATTCATTTTCTTATGAGGGCATTTTTCTGGCTTGCAGACAGCCACCTTCTCACTGTGACCTCACATGGCCTTTTCTCTGTGCTCTCTTGCAGTGAAAGACAGAGATCTTTAGTGCCTCTTCTCTTCTGATAAAGACCCCAGTTGTATTGGACTAGCCTCCTCCCACCATTATGACCTTATTTAACCTTAATTACCTCCGTAAAGGCACAATCTCCAATATAGACACATTGGAGATTAGGACCGCACCGTATGAATTTGGTGGTGATGGGGGAAGAAGGGATGGGCATAATTCAGTCCATAAAACTGTGTAACTCCCAGGTGGTTTTATCCTTGGAGATATAGGTTCAGTCTCTCTATAAGTGCTGGATTAAAGTAGTGAATGTATGTATTATGCATATCATAAGCCCAGACCCTACAGGGATCAGGAACATCACATGAAATGAGTGAAGCAGAAGAGACACATGGTAAACATGGCCAGTCCAAGTGGGCATCTACCCTCAACTGTAGAGGTCGCTGCCTGTGGAAATGCACAAATGTAGAAAGGAGGTCTGAGGATTGCAAACCATTTGATTTTTTTAATTTAATTTTTATTTTATATTGGGGTATAGTTGATTTACAATGTTGTGTTAGTTTCAGGTGTACAGCTAAGTGATTCAGTTATACATATATACATTCTTTTTCAGATTCTTTTCCCATATAGATTATTACAGAATATTGAGTAGAGTTCCCTGTGCTATGTAGTAGGTCCTTGTTGATGATCTATTTTACATATAGTGGTGTGTATATGTTAATCCCAGACTCCTCATTTATCCCCCCCCCCCACATTTCCCCTTTGATAACCATAAAGTTTAGCCAAGAGTCTAGACTCTTTTGAGAACTCTCCCAATTTTTAAGTATTGGTAACTGTCTAAGCACATCTGTGAGATCAGTAGATAAAGATACACATTTTTTTCAAGTTAAAGATACACATTTTTTTCAGTCAGATAATCTAGGAAATCACAGAGAAGCTTATATAAAGCAAGAAACCATGAACATTCTCACATATGGTCATGTAAACTTCCTAGGTCCATTAAATTTTCCCAAAGAAATACGCTGGTGGTGATACCTGCTGTACAGAATGAGAATGCTGCCACTCATGAGAAGCCTGCCCGGCAGGTGCAAGAAATTGTGGCAAAACTAGCTAAGCACGTTTCTAAGTTTTTAATACAAGATAAGACCAATCTAAGGTCTGTATCCCAGCCATAGCATCACTCTGGAGGCTGTGAGGCCTGTTATGGCAGCAACTATAGTTAATTTTGTTTAAAACACTCTGAGGATTAACACTGTGCAGGCTAAAAGCTCATTTGGATCAGTGATGCAGAGAGAGAAAACAAGCCTTGAGAATGAACCCTTGACATTTAACAAGGGAATAAGGGAAGAGCAGTCATTGAAGAACGCAGAGAAATCAGCTCTAACACAAAGGTGAGGACAAATAGGGTTAACTGGTACTTTGAAAATGGAGAGAAGAGGGAATAGGCACCAGTGTCAAATTCCATGGAGAGGTTAAGTTAGGTGAAGAGAGTTTATGCCAAAAAATAAAGTAAAATAATATGAAGTTTCACATTTGAGACGTAAAGTTTCCTGGATGATTTAAGCAAGCTGTAAGTCATCGCCTGAGTGACTAGAGTAGAATGGTCATAGAAGTCAAAGTTC